AATGTTCGTTGGGATCGTTATGAAAGTTGCCACAAGATGGCGCGTACGTTTAAAGGGACAGTAGCCTCTAGGATTTTACTGCATACACTCAACTGTACTTACTGTATAACAAATCGTCTATACCCACACTTATTTGTTACCAAATACCTAATTTAATTGTTATAATTATTTACACATCAACGCTACGAAATTTGAACGGTGCCATGACACCCGCGACCGTGCTGCCACCCCGAAAAAGTTGCGTATTTGACAATTTATTTTGCAGGTTACAGACCGATGGCTAATCACAAAAGTGCAATTATATTTATACTTAAATAATATTTAACCGAACGATATTCATTTTAGGGCAAATTTATCCATATTATAATTGAAATTATATGTCCGTTTATAAGATATTACAAACCTTTTGCTTTTAAATGAATAAATAAGAAACACCCTCGGTCTGTAGCCCTTGGCTGGAAAGTGGTTTTGCGCAACTTATCAGATCGTACGCTTTGAGTGGCGCCACCTTCGTTGTAATCAAACTGTAGTCCTTAGTTTTAAAACATTTTTTAATAATATTTCTAATGGTGATTGAACCATGAAACTTTTTATGTAGCGTAATTTTAACCTAAATTAACTGAAAATAACCCTAGAACATAGAGTAAACTCTCCCTTTAAGTGTCTTAAGATTAAAGATGGAAGCTCCCATCGTACGTAGTAGCAACAACTATTTGCAAGACAGAATCGGTAAGCACTCATCCATTTACCTACGCAAGCCTACAGGCTGAAATAGAGAGCTGCCACCTGTAACTAATTAACGCAGGCAAAAACGACACAGTACTATCACCACTACATGCACTGGCAGCGGCTACTGCCAGTTGCATAACATGCATAAGTTACATATGTTACAACACACTGACAGTACAGAATGCCATAGAAATTATATGATTTACGGAGCATAAACCTTCTTCAACCAAATTTAGCTTTTGAAATTTCACTGTGACATTGTAGCCTCATACATCCAACCATGTATAGATTCTACTAGCAAACCCGGCAGTCAAATTTTTGAAAATACAGTAGCATAATGAGCAGGGTTCTGCCCACGGTGGGCGGTGGTGGGCGGGTGTGCCCGGCACTCGCGGTTGCCGCCCGGCACTATATATCTCCGCCTGGCACTAATTTTTGATATAAACAAGTGCCGCGGAGCGACAGCTAGCGCTCATCTAACGTCTACTGCGGTGACTCTGTGGTGGAGTGGTGGGATTCTAGTAAACCCTGTTAGTTCCAAATCTGTTCACATACATGCCAAAACAGTGGAAGGAACAAGGATGGTATCAGGAACCTTCTCAAAGGAATGTTCGTTGGGATCGTTATGGATGTTGCCACGAGATGGCACGTACGTTTAAGTGTCTTAAGATTAAAGATGGAAGCTCCCATCGTACGTAGTAGCAACCCCCAGCTTTGACATCCCAACTCGTTTTCGGATTACACCCCCCCCCCACGTCCCGAATATCGTGACCGTACGTCAAACGGTTAAGATTTGTGCCCAACTGTTGACGGACGGACGGACGCACGCACAGACGCACTCACGGACGCACACTCATGCGAGTCTACAAGCTGCATCTGACTATGTCAGATGAGCTTAAAAAAAAAGAAAAGAAAAAAAAGTCTGATATATGGGCTTTTTATTGCTCAGAATGCAGAAAATTGAGTTTCAGACTATCAAAAATCAAAAATTTTCAGGGGGGGCATGCCCCCCGACCCCCCTAGATTGGCTTCGCGCCTACGGCGCTTGCATCTTGTCGCAACTGGATGGCCCGGCACTAAAAAATCCTGGGCAGAACCCTGAATGGGAGTAGGCGAAATGGGAACATTGCCGATTCTGAAAGTAGACGAAATGGGAGTAGGCGAAATGGGACGTAGGCGAAATGGAAGTAGGCCGACTGATCACACCGTCGGACAATTACCCCCTAAACAGTCACCCCAATGCTAACGAGGTTAATTAACTCCTGTGTATATACATACGTACACAGCTCAGTTACTGGCTGCACTGTAATATTTTGCCGAGGTATTTGTCCGAGGCAATGGAGGGTGTGTGTGTGGGGGGTGGGGAATGTCTGGGCTAGGCTGTATTGTTATCATCTGGAGCTAATTGTTTGGGGGGCAGTGTTGTCTGGGGGAGGGGGTGAATGGCATGTCGGGGGGAATTGTCCGATAGGGGGGGGGTGAATGGCATGGGGTAATAACTAATTGTCCTAGAGGGGGGATGATATTGGGGGTAATTGTCTGGGTGTGAATTGTCCGGGGGCGATTGTCCGAGGTGGAGGCCTAGAGTACGTAGAACCGTATATGCATGACTTATACTGTTGACCCACAATTAATTAACAGAACTACTAATATAATTCTAACTTCTAAGTAATTGTATCCCCCGCGACAAAGTCGGCGGGGATGCTTACATGGTTTCATGTCTGCCCAGCCACCGCCGCCGCCACCGACACAGACACTTTCCCTTCCACTCTATAACTCGACCCCTAATTGACATAGCGTGACCAAACATAGTCTACTTACACATCTTGGGGAGAAGTTGCACAGCGTACCAAAACCAGGTCACTGCGACCTTTATTTGACCTTGACATTGACCTTGATCATATTTCCCTTCTGCTCTATAACTCGGCCCCTAATTAATAAGGCTAAAGCCCGGCGCACACGTGAGTTATTACTCAAGTAAAATGACGCATGAGTCATTTTACTCACGTGTGCGGCGGATTTTCGTTGAGTAACTTGACTCATGCGTCATATTTTACTTGAGTAAAATAACTCACGTGTGCGCCGGGCTTAATTGACCTAGCGCGAGTAAACTTCGTATACTTACACATCTTGGGGAGAAGGTGTGTCGCGTACCAAAACCCCTAAGGCAATCAATTTTAACATACTTGCACATCTCAGGCAGATGAGTTGTTAGCTCTAGTACTATAGCCCGCGGATCGCTGCCGCAGCGATCCTGCGGCAGCGATCCGCGGGCTATAGTACTACTACTAGAGCTAATGAGTTGTGTAACAAACATTGCCTTTGTCTGTGTGACTTATTTAACTTTACCTACCTTCTACGTCCTTACAGAGATATTTCATTCATACTATATAGATCACGGGGGATACATGTAGCGACAACTGCCCTTTCTAGTTTTATAATGAACTTGGATTCAATTTTAATTTATAATTAATTATACTACTACTAGTATAGTACTAGTAGTAGAGTTGGAAGACACAAAATAAATAAAACCAACTATACCAATGTACAGAAATCCTCGGAGCCGTCAAGACCACATGTAAAGGCACCGGGATCAACGTCCAGCTGAAGTTCGGCTCTGTTATGTACTATGTCAGTTTCGTTATTTCGGCAAAGAAGCGCTATAGGTTCTTCGCCTATTATTGTATCCTCTTCCTCGCATTCCCCCGAATACGGTTGCGTAAGTGGCACTGTTTGCAATGCCACCTGGTGGTGGAGATGAAGAAGCAGTCCGATGGTAATGATCACGTGACGAAAAGCTTTGCCGCGTAGGTTTTCCATTTCGGTTTACTTAATTCTAGATGGAATATATAATCCTTTATATAGCGTTACTGAAATCAATATAACCACATTTTGTTATCATTACTGTGCAATTAATTAGTACTTGTGGGAGCAAAATAATTGGAAGTCGGGCATATATATGTATAGGCATAGAGATCTCCATGCATAATTTGATGAACTGTTAATGATTTATTATACATTATGATTACTACGATTACTGAAAAATCATTGTATTAGAAGGGCAAGCATGCGCGCGTGTGTGTCCGCGGCCTGACTGTAAGTTTGATTGCCTATCAACTTCCTATGCACGCGCAACTAAAAGTAAAACCCACAAACAACTATAACCAGTTCTAGTTAAGTACACGAAACAATTTACCAAGTTAACTTACCAATACGCTGGTGATCCAAGCAGCAAACATGTTCCAAATGGGAGAAATACTATTAGATACTGCTTCCAGGGTGCTTTTCATAATTTCGCCCCACCCATCACTCTGCTCTACATATGCCCCATTATCCATCTAAGTGAGGCGAGAAAAGCTATAAAATAGAAACAATTATTGAAGATAAGAACCTCTTGATCAATAACATACACAGTTAAATGCTTACAGCAGCTTCTGCGCACAAACCCATATTTACCGTTACTTTTTGAAACTGTTTTAGATGAATCGCCCGTGATAAGGTATATTCGTAATATGCACTGTGAGGTCTTTTGCACAATATAGTGCGAAGAAGACTGCGTACACGCACACACGGTCGCACGCGCCCACGCACACACACACACGCACACACATGCAGGCGTATATGTACATGCACGCACGCAGCACACATAATAATATGGCCCTCCTTATAATACTCATATATTATAGTACATATACCTGGTTACCGTAAAGACCGGCGTTTCCTTGGTATGCAGCTCTCTAATCGTGCTTGCCCACTAAGCGCGTTGAGCCAAAAGTGAGTCTACGCACACACAAGCACGCGCATTACAGTAAGAAATAATCAGGCGCCAATTAGCTCAGAAATTTCATTTTGAGTTTCTTACGCGGTTTACGACCTTTAGTGAGAACAGTGAGTCACTATCTGACGTGGGGTAGTCATGTGCGGCCGAACACAACAACAGCGAAAATCTTAGCTCGAGCGGTTAACGTGTAGCTGCCATTTCGCCGCCCAGCGAGTTGATACGAGAAGTGAAAAGATTAGGCAATCGCGAGAAGGACAACACATCACGATGGATCGTGGAGGGACGGAGCAGCGAGGGAGAGAGTCGAGGCGCAGACAGATGAGATTGCACACAATGACACACACGTGCGCGCTGGCGTCTGCGGTGTGTGTGGCGCGCGCAAGGCGTCCGTGTCTTTCGTCCTTTCTCTCTCTCTCTTTCTCTCTCTGCTCTTGCGTCTCTTCTCTCTCTCTCTCTCCCTCTCTCTCTGCTGTAACGTTGCGTGCGCTAATCGCGCGTGCCCTACAGCGTGTGCTGTGTAATGAGTAATTTCCATGAAATTAATATAAACGGGACCGTACAAGCTTATATCTGCCGAATGGACTCTGATCCTATAGCAAATATATATATAATAATATCAGCATAGCGTCTTTAATTTCACAAACCTCGGCCCGGAATTTGAATAACCCAGGTATAAGATCATGTAAGAGCATATCAAACTAAAATGATCAACGCCGTAAAGTAAACATCTCGGGATAAACCTTGAAAAACACTACCCTATCTGTGCTGCGACTCTAAGCTGTTGTACGTGTCTATCTTAGCGTGATGAACCTCAGCTAATCCCTCACATACACCGTCATGAATGTTTCACAAGAGAGAGCTGTTTGGCCCCTCCTTCAAAATTACTGCGACGTATTTTATGTGAAACTCGTTTTCGCCACTCGCGACCTTCATCCTCGCCACCTTCGCGACTTACGCACCATCACGAAAGGGTTTGAAACGGCAGGAGACGAACTTAATCATCAGAATTTTTTCAGCGTTGCTCTTGTCGATCGTAGGATATATCGCGATGCTTTTACGCGCGTAACTATATATTAGACGGACTATTGTAGCACGGAAAGCCTGTAATATGTGTAGTACTCACGCCAAAGAACTGACAAAAATCTCTTATGTATTGTAAAACCTGTGAGACAGAGATAGTCAATATTCATCCTATAACGAAGAACAATTCAGAAGAACAAGCAATAATCAGCGCCAATGTATTCCAAAATTCAATTTCATTTATACGCAGTTCTCGGGATTTAATGAGAAACCCCTTCTAACAATATTGATCCAACGAGGGGGGATGATATTGGGGGTAATTGTCCTATCCTCTTGGGTTCTAATTGTCCTATCCTCCCCCCTATCCTCTTGGGTTTGGGTTACATTATTGTATCTAGTGTGTCGCGTACCAAAACCCCTAAGGCAACCAATTTTAACATACTTGCACATCTCAGGCAGATGAGTTGTTAGCTCTAGTACTATAGCCCGCTTACATTAACTGCCGCTGCGCTGCCGCTGGCGCTGCCGCTGCCGCTGGCCAGCGGCAGTTAATGTAAGCGGGCTACAGTACTAGAGCTAATGTCAGTTATGAGTTGTGTAACAAACATTGCCTTTGTCTGTGTGACTTATTTAACTTTACCTACCTTCTACGTCCTTACAGAGATATTTCATTCATACTATATAGATCACGGGGGATACATGTAGCGACAACTGCCCTTTCTAGTTTTATAATGAACTTGGATTCAATTTTAATTTATAATTAATTATACTACTACTAGTATAGTACTAGTAGTAGAGTTGGAAGACACAAAATAAATAAAACCAACTATACCAATGTACAGAAATCCTCGGAGCCGTCAAGACCACATGTAAAGGCACCGGGATCAACGTCCAGCTGAAGTTCGGCTCTGTTATGTACTATGTCAGTTTCGTTATTTCGGCAAAGAAGCGCTATAGGTTCTTCGCCTATTATTGTATCCTCTTCCTCGCATTCCCCCGAATACGGTTGCGTAAGTGGCACTGTTTGCAATGCCACCTGGTGGTGGAGATGAAGAAGCAGTCCGATGGTAATGATCACGTGACGAAAAGCTTTGCCGCGTAGGTTTTCCATTTCGGTTTACTTCTAGAACTAAGATGGAATATATAATCCTTTATATAGCGTTACTGAAATCAATATAACCACATTTTGTTATCATTACTGTGCAATTAGTACTTGTGGGAGCAAAATAATTGGAAGTCGGGCATATATATGTATAGGCATAGAGATCTCCATGCATAATTTGATGATCTGTTAATGATTTATTATACATTATGATTACTACGATTACTGAAAAATCATTGTATTAGAAGTGCAAGCATGCGCGCGTGTGTGTCCGCGGCCTGACTGTAAGTTTGATTGCCTATCAACTTCCTATGCACGCGCAACTAAAACCCACAAACAACTATAACCAGTTCGTTCTAGTTAAGTACACGAAACAATTTACCAAGTTAACTTACCAATACGCTGGTGATCCAAGCAGCAAACATGTTCCAAATGGGAGAAATACTATTAGATACTGCTTCCAGGGTGCTTTTCATACTTTCGCCCCACCCATCACTCTGCTCTACATATGCCCCATTATCCATCTAAGTGAGGAGAGAAAAGCTATAAAATAGAAACAATTATTGAAGATAAGAACCTCTTGATCAATAACATACACAGTTAAATGCTTACAGCAGCTTCTGCGCACAAACCCATATTTACCGTTACTTTTTGAAACTGTTTTAGATGAATCGCCCGTGATAAGGTATATTCGTAATATGCACTGTCACTGTGAGGTCTTTTGCACAATATAGTGGGAAGAAGACTGCATACACGCACAGCAAGTAATATTATTTCGGGGTGGTGGCAGGTATGACGTGGGGCCAACGTTGGCAGGTATGACGTTGCGCCAACGGTTGGGAGGGGTGAGCAACCATAGCGCCCAGCGAATGTGACCTCTATCGATGAGCATGCTTAAATTACTGATCGTAATTGACGAGTGTCCTCGGCCAAAAACGGGTTTAGGCGACGAGTCATGACGTTGCCGGCCAACGGGTGCCGGTTTGTCAATATGACTGTGGTGGGCAGACCGTTTGGCAATATGAGCTTGGGCCATACGTGTAGCAGCTCCAGCTTTATCCATTGTCATTTCTCAGTCTCCTCGGATCTGAATAATTGCTCTTCACGATGGATATTGACGAGAAATGTGATCATACCAAGTAATGCACGTCTTTGAGGGTCAACGCAAAAGACTATATGGTCTGTCGCGGCCCCCGCGGCCCCGCCGCGGCCACGTCCGGGGCTCCGAAAACGGCCTCCCCGGCGCCGCCGACGCCACCGCTTCCGTCAGTGCGTACCCGGCGTTGCTCGTCCGCAACGGTGGCAGCGGCCACGACCGACGTCTGCCCCGGTGCGTGTGGGCCCAGGACCGCGGTTCGAAGGGCGGGCCAGATATGACGTGCACGCGCGCGCGCGCTGCGGCCGGAAGAGAGGTAAGCGGGGAAGCCAGACAACGAAAAAGCAGACGAAGAAGGACAAGGGCAGGAAAAAGAAGCAGCAAGGGACAACGAAGAGCAAACAATTCAGGCGAGCGGCCAACCAGTTGGCAGCCCGGCACCAAGTAATCCGTGTGTGTTATGTTACGGTATGAAAAATAAGGAGGGTATGACGTTGCCGCCAAATGCTAGCGCCTTGATAAGGCACTAGGTATGGCACACGTTTGCGGCCTGCCAACGTTGGGCTGAGGGGTGCGTTCATGGCGCTATTAGACGCATGTCGGGCCAACGTTGGCATGATTACCTTTGTCCCAACGCTCTGGTCAATCATTACTTTTGGTGTCCTAAGCGTGGGTCAATAAGAGGGCGGCAAAGGCGGCGGTTGCAAACACCGAGAGAGGTGGCAATGGATTGATGGGCAGACGCGGTGATCCCTGGGCTCGCGGAAGCCGCGGTCCTAACTCTGAGGTGCCAAGCCAGGCGGTTCCAGCAGGTTTGCTGA